TTAGATCAAAGATGCCTTTGAAGTGACAAACCCTTAATCCATAAACTACTGAAGCACTTCCTTTCTCTCCCAAACTACTTGTTGTCAAATAAAATGGAAGTTAAGGAAATTATCTTTATCTGAAAATGGCCAAAAGAAGCCATCACCTAATGACAGCCTTGTCAAAATGACAATTGGGGAAATTGTTAGGAAGGGGAGGCCTGACGACTGGAGGAATAAGCTGGCTGTTTGCTCTAATCTGGTCAGGCAGGCCCCACACAATTCCAGTCAGCTTGCTGTGTGAAACAGCTAAGTCTTTGTCAGCCCAGGCAGGGGCTGGAAAGACTTCTCTTTCATGAATATGTATCACCACCCTCCACGGCTACAGGAAAAAAACCAAACCTAAACCTTCCAAACAGCAAAATTCTGTAAAATGGAAAAAAAAAAAAAAAAAAACCAACAAATCCCAGAACTACAAAATCCTGAGATATGGAGCCACACAGATGGAAAAAGAGAGTAAGGAATGACAGTGCACGTTTTGGAAGTGCAGCCAGAAGGAGCCTCTTCCCAAAGGCTTTCTTTGCACTTTTATGCCCCAGCAGGCTGAGATGAGGCACTTCAAGTGCACAAAGGCAGAAGGGCCCATCGGGGTATTTAATATCCATCACTTTGTGGTTTAGATCTGGCCTTGGTGGCACCAAACCCCACAGATACACATGGAGCTCACAGGAATTCCTTGTGCCAGGAGGGAATCACCCCCAGAAGGTCTGAACACTGCCAAGGGCAGGCACAGAGGCAGCTTTGGACCAGGGGCAGAAATTCCCTGTGAGGCCTCAAATTTCATCCCACTGAAATGGTTTTCTGAGAGATGTCCATGACATCTGTAAATGAAACCCTTCACAACACGTGGAACTGAAACTGGTGAGACTCCTGTAATCCCAAAAATGGTGCTTAAAGCAATGGATGGGCAGATGGGAAAAGAACACAGGATCAAACAGAGCCCATCCCTGCTGCAGAAAACCCAAATGAAGATATTTTAAGCTGTGGTGGGTTTTGTCTCTGTTGGAGAACTACGGCATCATCAAAGCACAACAATGTCTGAAAAGTTACCTTCAAGTGCTTGCTGCCATCTTTTTACCTTTGCTTGTAAAACTGCAAGCCAGATCTTGATTTATTACCGAGAGCTTGTGGTGATATCATAAACTTCAGTTTTTCTGGAAATAACGAGCAGAATATGCAAGTTTGGCTCCCAGCAGAGATATCAAGACACAGCACTCAGTTTTGAGGTTCCCAATATTATGCAATGTTTGCTGTAGACATTTCCATTCCATTAGCATATTCTACTTTACACGAAATCCAGCAATGAATGCTGTCCCTGATCTGAGGCTAATCCTCTTTAAAGAGCTACAGGCTATATTACATGTGGCCACAGCCACGGTTCTGCCAGGGCTGGATCACTTTGAAGCCTATTGAACAGTGTTCCCTTGTGAGGCCATACACAGAGCCACAAAGGGATGCTCCCTGTGCTCCAAAATCCTGCTGGTTCCTCCTCCAGGAGTTCCTCTCAGGGACAGAGCAGAGTGCCAGGCAAGGGGCTGCAGACAAGGAAGAGACACCCGGCTGCCTTCACCACCCCTCAGTGCCAATTTATGTGCCCACAGTAATAAAAATCCTTTTTTTCCTAAACCTCAACAGCAGCTGCCCCGAGGGAGGGCTTCCAGAACAATCAAAGGTGAAGGAGAGCCAGACACCTGCTTCCCTGAGTAGGAAACAAGCTGTTTGAGTAGTTTGGGAGGCAGACATATCTGTCTTGGAAGGGAAAAGAGAGAGATGGTCATGGATGTACCTGTGAGGCTGCATTGCTCCCAGCTGGGTGCCCCTGAGTGCTGTAAACTGAGATAATGGAACTGTGTTTTTATTGCCACACAGTGTGGAATCTCCAACACCTTCACATCTATACAAACTTAAAGGGAAAAAAAAATTCAAAACGACAAAAAGGTCACTATATTCTCTGGTCCTGCTACATATCAGCAAAATACAGCTTATATTATCTTTAATTGTTCAAAATTGCTTTCTTTGTTCATTGAAGGGAACTGGACTCTGCTCAGCCTTCACTGTGCACATAAAATTTTCTGTCTGAATGGTGTTAAACCAGACAAAAAGAGTGGATTCAGCCTCCAGAGTAAAATGTGGGGACTGGTGAAGGCAATGTTCAACCTCCTCACTATCAAAATAGCCACAAAATTTATTTTTTCCTTTGCAGTGGAGGGAGAAAGGGTCCAGAGAAAAAACAAACACAAGGTGGAGGGAGCAGCAGAGGGAATAGGAAAAATAACCAGAAGGATGGTGAGAGGGAAGAACAGCAGAGAGCAGGAGGGAAAGGAAAATGGAAGAGAAACTGAGAGGGAAGAGAAAGGGAGAAGCCAGACAGGCTCTAAAGGAGGACCAAGGGCAGATCATGATGTAGAACGAAAACGAGAACTTGGAAAGTGACACAAACAAAGTTCATCTTGTCAAGAGCACTTTTCAGCAGTCAAGGTGAATATTCCTCATCAGTTTACTCAGGTCAGATGATAAGAAAGGAGGAAGAGCTCTTTTTCCTGAGTAAACAAGGATCAAAGAAGGAAATAAACAGAGGAGATTTTGCCCTCTCTTCCTCCTTTGGAAGATCTCCTCTCTGCTTATGGAGTGGAGCTGCTCTTGGCACTGGGAGCTAAAACTTCAGGGAACACACATCCTCTCCTCTCTCTCACACTGACATCCAGTGGCATACAGTGGGATATCTCTGGAGCACACCTGCCTTTGAGAAGGGCCTGTCTCTTTTCTCTTTGAACATGAGGCCCTCGGCTGCTGTACAGTAACAAGAACTCATTGCAGAGCCTCACTACAGGTTGTTGCACACTCCATTAGGCCTTTCCCAACTCCTGGAAGTTACCACTGCCAGTACTACCACTACCTTACAAGCACCTCGACAACTCTTGCACTACCAAAATTAAATGTATGGCTAAAAACGAAAAATAAAGAAAAAGGAAAGAAACCCCACTGACAATCCAACAGCTAATAAGCACAAAACATAAAAATCCCCCAAAACAAAGCTTGCCTTCCCTTGTCTGGTCACACATTGCCATCTACTGGCTCCCACTCCTGTGCTCCGAGTGCCTGGGTGGTTTGGAATGAGAAAAGGGCTGTGAGCAGCCTGGGGTTGATGGCCCTAAATCCGTCGGCTCTCACTCAGCTGCCGCTCGGTGACTCGGCAGGTCCCTGAGGGACAGGTTCAGGTCCCCCCTGTGCCCAGGCTCGTGTGACAGGTGACAAGACACAGTGAGGCATTAACACCAGGCCAAGCCAGCAAACAGGGCTCATGTGCCTCGGGAGAGGGCTGGAGGGGACAACCACCCACCTACTGCCCCCTTCTTGGGCTTTCTGAGCTCACAGAACCACGGGAGTTACACTCACACGCAACACCCACAGCTGTTGTCACCCTTTACACCTGAACCCACCCAAATGCCAGCACCACATCGACAGTTTTGATAACCAGGTGCAAAATCTGACCTTAGGAGAGAGGGACGGGACAGTGGAAGTCTCAGCACGGCAGAAATCAGGCCAGGCTCCCTGCTGATTCAGCAGGGCTAGGATACTTCCATCGTGTACATTTAAATAGCAGAGACAAGGAGAAAGTTTCAGACTGGTCTGGAAAGGCTTTTATGCCATAACAGAGACAGAACTATAAAGGGCATTTTTCCCAAGTGTCCAAGAAATGTCATCACAGCATTCCCAACTCATAAGCACTCCCACAGACGATTAAAAGACTACACTTCTATAACTCTTCTGACCTACCACGAACAAGCCAGAAAGAGAAAGAAACACATTTCCCCTCACTGACTCCTGTTTCCTAAGCCAATTAGGATTGACAGCAACATAAAAGTTCCTGGTATTTTTCAATTTCCCACATTCACCTATGGATTTGGCTCTGGAATTAGAGGAATCACTTCTCAGAAGAACAATGCACCGTCACAGCCACAGCAAAACCACCTCAATCTTCCAGCCTGAAAACCACTAAATTAGCCCAAACACACTTATCGGCAGTTTCACTTACGACCGAAGAAATTTCAAGCAAAAGAAGAAGTCATTGTAACACTGGAATATACAGAACAGAAGAATTTCAGCAGGAAGATCACCCATAAACCCCACAGGCACAGAGCGCCTGCATATTTTTTTTTCCCTCATAAAGGGCAAACCTGGAGCTGTTTTCCTGAAGCTGGCAGCGTTTCAACTGACTAGAAACTTATTGAAGAGAGAAGCTGTAAATCCAGTTCCTGCCCTCCCCTGCACAAAATCACACAGAGCTGTACTTAAACCATAAAACAATAAAGGAATATGAAGCTAATTCGAAGTTACACAATCCTAGGGGAAAAAAAGGGAAAGGTCCTTACGTACCTCAACAGACACAAGAATCAAAATAATCCCGTCAGAAAAGTTGTCTGATGACCTGGGACTCGGCTGTTTTCCGGAAAACAAAGGGCTGGCAGGAATTATAACCATCGACAGATGCAATAAACAGCAAGGTTGCACAATTCTGGCTTTTCCAGAAGGCCACAAAGTGTTTCGTTTTTCTTGTGTGTGAGCACACAGGCCCAGCCCTGCCTGCTGTAAAAAACGCCTTCACCTGTGGGAGAAAGTTGGAACAATCTGTTTTCCTTCTCTGCTTTTCAGCACAACTTCCTGCAGGACGCAGTTTAATCCCTTTTTTCTCCCTTTTTTTCCCAATGTCAGGGAGAAGAGCCCATGGAACAGCCCTATTAGGCTGCATGCAGATAAAAATTATTCCACAAGAACTGCAAGGGAACTTATCAACCCACAAGTCACTGACCTGTTTGCTGAAGATATAAAAAGAGCCCACAAGTGAAAAACAGTTTGGATGAAGCAAGGCAGGATTTGACGGCCCATGGCAAAGCAACGAAGCCCTCAGTGCTTGCTCGCTGTGTGGGCACAGGGAAGGGAGGACACGGAACGTTTGGGATCTGGATGGAAAAGGAACGCGTTTGCTTCGCCACTTGTCCTGGGCTGGGGGGTAACACAGGGGAATATGAAAAACCAAGCATAAAGAAGAACCCACGGCTGTCTCAGGATCTGTAAAGGGAAAAGAAAAAGAAAGAGAAGTGAGGAAAAGTTTTCAGATCGGTTCAGACCATGGGCCAGGGGAACATGAGGCTGTTTGCCAAAGGAGGCGCAATCAACCGCAACTGCGGTTGCTTAAAGCAAACAACCAAACATTTTAAAACAATCAATTTAAGAACAACATCAGGTCAACTGCTATGCTTATAAAACGCTTCCCAAAGCGTTTTACTCCTCTAAGCGTTCATTTGGGGGGTAAACCCGGAATTATTTCGTCTGACAGCTGAGCCCGTGGACTTGTGATCCCTGACACGGCTCTGAACACATGTTCAGATGGCCCCGGACAGACCTGTGGCTATTCCTTTAGAGTTATTCACTGTAGTAAATAATTTAACTCTTATTTTCTTTTCTTTTTTTTTCCCCCCTTTATTTTTAAAGACGCTCTATTTCCGGCCCCGAGGTGCCCTCAGCGCTTCCCGCCCATCGCCGCCCATCCCAGCTCCTCCCGCCTCCCGCTCCAGCTCCTCCCGCCTCAGCGCTTCCCGCCGGCCCCCTCAGGAGTTACCGGGAATCAGGAGCCGCCGCAGCCCTCGGCGGCCGCCGGAGCCCCGCTCCCGGCAGGTGAGGAGGCGGCCGGGCCGGGCGGACGTGAGGGGAAGAGGGGGCGGGATAGATCGGCGGGCAGACCGGGATGTCGCCGGGCGGCTCCCATGGGGTCGGTCCGGGAAGTCCCGGGCTGGCCGTGCTGAGGGGTGGGGAGGGGGCACCGAGCCTGCCCCGGGAGCCCGTATCCTTAGGGCTTCCCGCTGTTCTGCTGCCTCTGGGCGTGGGGGTGATGACACTCGCTGTCCCCTAGGAGAGGATGATGAGGTGAGGCCACGGCGGAGGTGCGGACAACAGCGGGGCTGCCTTGGAGCTGAGGGAGAAGTCCACAGAAAGTTTGTTCCTCCTGGCCAATGCACCCTAGTAAGTAAAAACTCCTTTAGCATTTACGTGAAGCAGTGTTCAGTGTGCTCGCCCTCAGTGAGCCTTTGAGGCGGGACTGGGCAGCCGTGAGGGGATCGCGGGTCTGGAGCGGGGTCTGTGGGAGCTGCCGAGAGCCAGGCTCATCAGGGGGTGCTGCCGAAGCAATGGGTGGCTGTTCTTTTTAAAATTAATTTATGTAGCCGTCTGTAAAATTCAGTAATTCGCATCAAAGTGGTGAGGCACAGAAGTGTCTCTGTGGGCTGAGCTGCAAACACAATGAAAGCGCTCAGTGGTTTTTCCCTTCACTAAATATGTCCTCATGTAATATCCCCTTAGTGGTGCAAGACGAGGAAGGGACACGGGGACAGTCCCTCCTGGCCCACTGAGCTGCTTCCAGCGTCCCAGAGAGGGCTGGGGAATCTACAAGGAGGAGGGACCGATAATGGAGCCACCACAGCTTGTGGCTCACAGATGGCAGAGGAGCAACCTGCTATCAGGGCATCTGTCTGTGTTCCTGCCAAAAGCACAGATGATATTTCCTAGCTTGTTTTAAAGGGAGCCCTGCTGGAAGTTCTGTGTTTCACTCATCTTCTGTGCTGTTGCAGCCTGCTTCAGTAACCAAGCTGAGGTTGCTGAGCTACTGTGTCAGAACTGTGGCTGGTTGTGTGTTAAAGGTGCAAAGGAAGCAGTTTTGAGGTTTCACAGAGAAAACGATGCACCGATACACCACCACGCACTCTGTTTGGTGTTTGTGTGCAGTGTGTAAAAACCACATGTCAACTCCATCATCACACAACACAATCATCACTTCATTGCAGTGGTGATTCAGCTGCTCATAAAGCTCTGAATGGAGCTGGTGAGCTCCAGAGCTGTGTGAGACAAGCTTACTGCAACCTGCGTGTGGAAACATCTGCACTGTGTGATACCAGTTAAATGGCTGCTCACATGTTTCTCTGGTGAGTAACTGGGAACTCATTTGCTGGTTTCTGCTTTCAAATAGCAAGACTTTCCTTTTCAAGGCTCAGTTTTAGTGCGGGAGGACACTGGCCTTGCACTTAGAGAACCAGATGGCAGTCTTTCCTGAGCTGTCTCAGGTTTTCTTAGGATGCACTGCAGTCGCTCAGGCTTTGGAGCAGAATTTGTTTCATAAGTATGTGGTCTCTGTGAAGAACTTTAAAAAACAGCACAAAACTACCAAACCCAAGAAAAGTAATTTCTTTTGGCACTTCTGCAGCAGTGGAGAGTTGGGATTTTCCAGCAGACAATGGGGAAATAGCTAGAGGTGGTGACAATTCCTCTTTTAGGTCTCGTGGACGGCCCAACTTTCTACATTCACTTTCCGTGCTGTCCCAGCAGTCACTTTCTAAACACTTTTTCCGTGCAAGAGGTCAGTTTGGACAGCCCAAGGAATGCTTTATAGATATTTGATTTACCACTGCCTGCAGACAGAGTGTTGGCAAAGATCTCTTGATACCCGAGAGCAAAGCACCCAGGCCCAGCCAGTACTGCCTCACCCCGTTTTAAGTCTATCCAGCAAATCTTACTGCTAAATGACACATTTCCTGCAAAGATAAATCTGCCTGTGAGACCCTCACGAAGAGCTTGCTGGCAGCAGCGGTTAGTCGTGGCTGCTGAGCTCCCACTGCTGTGCTCCCAGGTGTCTGGAAGTGCTGTGCAGTCAGTGGAGCACAGGAAACCTTTCGGCGTCGCTCCAAAACCGATCTGTTGCGTTCCGCAGCCGCTCCGTGCCGTCATCTTGCCGTCCCCTGGTCCCAAGGGCTCCTCTCGTCATGAGCTCCTTCGAGGAGGCCGAAACAGAGGAGACAGTGACGTGCCTGCACCTGACCTTCTACCACCCTGGCCAGGCCGAGAGGATGGTGTTCCGCTGCCTGGATTTCTGCCGGCGCCAGCGCGTCCGGGCGGACGACACGGCCAGGTTCGGCCGCGACTCCAGCCTCTGCCACTACAGCCTGGTGGACACGCGCGTCTCCCGCCTCCAGTTCTCCCTGCAGTTCTACAGGAAGCTCCACACCTCCGAGTACGGCTTCGAGATCAAGAACTTGAGCAAGAAAACGAAGCTGACCGTCAACCAGACGGAGCTGGGCTACTTGAACAAAATCGACCTGCCCTGGAAGTGCATCATCTGCTTCGGGGACTACCAGATCCTGGCAGAGATTCAAGAAGGGGAGGCCGTGGATTATTTTGAGACTCACTTGCACTTGGCTGAAGCACCCATCTTACAGGAAAGGTGCCTGCCATCCCTGCAGCCTATCCCCGAGAACGGCATTACTCCTTCCTTTCCTCTTTGCCAAGGCAAAAGCCCGACAGAGATTGACGAGAACGAGCTGTACTAGCAGGGAGAAGGAGGCTGGATCAGCTTTTGTAGCTCCAACAGACACGGCCCTCACCTCAGCCCGGTGTTCTTGGCTGTGCACATCAGTCTTCTTTGCTTGGTGTTTCCAGCACAGATGTTCCAGAGCACTGCTCCACAGGAATGGATTCTTGCCACTGCCTTCACAGAGGGCTCTCTGATGCCCAGAAAGGTGTGGGAGATGAGGGGTCACTCAAATCCATGGAATCCCAGAACTGTGGCCACGTGCCTTGGAGGGGTATTTAACAGGCATTAATACAGCAGGGGTTTTGGTCCCAGCCAAGGGGTGATACAATGTCTTGTTGCATATTTTACTTCGTGCTCTCTTTTGCACACCAAATTCCAAACAGTATTTTTTTGTGAGCCTAGGTTGTAACTTCACAGATTTTGCAACTTGGAAACACTTTGTCCTTTTAAATTTATGTTTTCATTAGCTTCAAAGCAAGGTTTCTGTTTTATTTTTACTTATTTAATTAACTTTTTTTTTTTTTTCTGCAAGTTAACTACTTTTGCTTGTGATGTAGACAAACATGTAGCATCAATCATCATGGTCTATAAAAATACACATTAATTTTGCAATAAATACATTTTGTTCCCTAGTAAGGGTTTGCTCTATTTTGTAGCTGCACTCTAAAATAATTTGTGGAGAATAAAATTATTTCCAGGACCATCAAGATAAGAGACTGTCACTGGCACTATTCCAGGCTTTCCAAAAATGCCATTGCTCTAAGGTAAGAATTTACTTAATTACTTTCAGGAAGTTTTCTACCTCTCCTCCTCTACCCAAACCTCTCTAATAATTTTCCTGTCTTTTAAGTATTTCTCAGGTTGTTTCAGTCTAGTTTTTCTTTGTCAGGGCCTCAGCTTTTCATTGGCATTTGGCTTTTTTATTTTGTCAAGTATTTTATCTCGCTTGAAAGACATACTGGGGAAGAATAGGAGTTACCCATTTTATCACCCCTAAATATTAGGATGCATTTCAGCATTAATCATTCCAAGAAAACCATAATTATGACTGAGGGGAGGAACAGCTGAGATTAAGGCAACCAACCACAAGTGAGAGAAAGCCATGGGAGAGGCCATGAAACTCAAACACAGGCTTATGTAGGATTTGTCTGTTCAACTCCTCTGTGACAAAATTACTTTGTTGCCATGTTTTCCGCTCTTGGAAGCAGGCTCTGGTTTCCAAACAACAATCACTTGCTCAGCTGTATTTACCTGAGGGAAGAATCAACCGTGTAAAATATACATTAAAAAATTGATTGTCTCCTGTCACTACATCGATCTGACCAGCAGAAGGTAATTTACACAAGGAAGGTTATTTTGCCTTTAAAAGGTGTGGATACAGCTGCTCATTTCCAACAGGAAAAGGGCTCCATGCTCCAAATTCCTCAGGTCTTCTGCAACAGGTCCCCAGAAGGGACACTGGGATTCAGCAGGGCTCTGACATGGCTGCCACAAACCCAGCAACAGATACCACACTGCCAAATGTAAGACTTGCTGAAAATTTTAATGACTCTTATTAAATTTGTACAGATAGGCATTTTACAGCACCCTTGAACTGTTCCACGTGAGCTGTTTGTGGAATCCCTCCGTTCCTCAAACACCCACAGGGATGGAGCATCACTCCAGAAGTCACCCAGTGTGGTGCCCTGAGCACTGCAAATGTTGTCACCAACCATGGCTACACAACACGCCCATCACAGAAAAAGCTGGAGTCAGCCTCCTTTCTCCTCCCAAGGGCAGGACTGTCAGCTAATTCCTCAAGGCATGGTCAGGACAAGGTCACCTCATGTTCCCTGGCCAGGAGAAGCAGTGACCAGTGCAGGAGAGGTGATTGTTTCAGCAGGTAAAAAACATGTTATTTACATGTTGAGGAAGTTGCCTTCCCTCCTTCCCATAGGAATATACTATACAAAGAAATATCCAGGAGAAGTCACACAGCAGTAGCTTAGGCCAAACCCAAAATATACATTTGATGTGTACAGGTCTTTAAAGCTCATTACAAGTATTGCAAATAGAAACAGTGGCAGTAAAATATTTTCAGAGGCATAGCTACAACTGAAATGAACATACGGAATGTTGCCAAGAGGATTTATCTGTTCTCTCGGGTTATTTGTACACATGTAACGCCCGTGTGCAGTATTTTTGTTCCTTATCCACACTGCAATGACCCAAATATTCCAAACAGATTCAGATGAGCTAAACCACATTTTTCACACAGCTTTCACTGAAAAATTCAGTTCTCACGATTGACAGAGCAGGTTCATTACTTAGCACAATGTGTTCCCTTTTACTCCAAAACAAAGTTAAACCCTGTCACCCTTTTCCCCCTGGAAAAACGAGACAGCTGCACTAAAAAATGACAGGGTAGAATGGCTTTACTTTGAAACTTTGGGGAAAGCTTGAGATCTGCAAGTGCTCTGCAGGTTCTCTTTTGCTAAAAAGTGAGATTGACATGGAATACCGGGGGAGACCGCACGGCCCAGGACAGCAGTGGTGCGGTCACTGAGCACCTCCTTGGATTTCAGCCCGTAGTAGCAGGATTAACCATCCCCTTCAGAGGCACAGGAAAGGCAGAGCACTTTCACACACTGTTAAAACATCAAATTATCTTCTTTCTTTTCAAAATGCAGATCTAGAAATTCAGTCTTTAGGTTCTTGTTCTTCCCACCCCCCAGCAGCAGAGCCATCATCCCTCTCCAGGTTTGCTCACTGGATGTTGCTTTTCCATAAGCGTTCTGGTCCAGTGGAATTATAAATTTTCCACAGCAGAAGAATTTTAAAGACCATGTAGCAACAGAGGTTGGTCTGTTCAGGGGGGCTGGGAAAACAAGACTTTGGTCCTCCCAGTTCTCCACTGGTTAAAATTCCCATTTTATTGACACATAAAGAGAATTTGTATTTTGTTTTTGCTTTTCTATCTAGCACACACTTACTAAGTCTGGCATATTATTATACAAGGCTGTACCTTACCTAACCTGAAGAGTTTTACTGTGTTCATTGAGGTTAACGGTGCTTAGCATGAAGTAATTTAAAAAAATAAAACAAATGGAAAAAGGACAACAGAAGACTAGGAAGGCTTTAAGCTAGACAGGGGAAAATCTGCAATTTGCCACATGTCAGATTTGTTTTGCAGCTCTTACTTTTGCATCCTCTAAACAGCTGAAGAGCAAGTCAAAAAGCACAGAAATATAAATATTTTAAAATTATTTCTCTATCTTCAAGTATTAAATAAATTATACAGGACTGTTTCTGAGATAAATATTAGGCCAATGATGAATTTTAAAACAAAATCAATAGAAACATCATCCAGAAGAAAAAAAGGCAAGTTAAAATATAGATAAGTCCAAGCTACGAAGCTCCAATTAGTGCAGATAGTTTTATATGAAATCCAGATACCCAGAAATATACACAGTAGTTTTCACAAAAGTCGAGAAGGTAGATGATAAAATTGCACTTAGTTCTGAATCCACGCGGACAGCGCGAGCCGCTCCCGTCGCGCGCCCGTCCGCGCGTCACCAAGAGGGCAGCGGGTTACAGAAGAGCCCGGCGGGCTCCCCTTCCCTCCCCACGCTCCCGTCGCGCGCCCGTCCGCGCGTCACCAAGAGGGCAGCGGCTTACAGAAGGCTCCCCTCCCCTCCCCTTCCCTTCCCAGCGTTTGCTGAGGGCAGGGATGGTCACTATCTGTCCTGGCGCTCGGAATCCGCCAGCCTGACGTCCGAGGCCGACAGTTCCAGCACGGGGTTGACGAAGCCGGCGTACTCGGAGTTGCCGTTGTCGTCCACGGCGGCGCTGACGAAGTCGTTCTCCCACTCCAGCCCGTTGGAATCGTCGGAGGCCGAGGCCGGGTGGCTCCCTGGCTTCCTGCTGTTGAATTTCAGCGCTGCCCGCAGGATGTCCTCCTCCGTCTTGGAGCGCTCCCTCACCGGGATCATCCTGTTCATGCCTGGCATTTAACACATGCACACGTGAGAAACACCTCCTCGTGAGTTTTCACCTGAATTTTGTGTTTCTGCCCAGAGAAACGAAGGTGGAGTTTGGACAGATACTGCATTCAGTATCTAGGAAAGGTCTGCAGTTTGTTTAATTCAACACAAGGTTCTGGACACTGCTCAAAGACATCTAAGATTTTCCTAATTTTGTCAGTAATTGCAGACCTTATTCACCTATCAGATTGGCTAAAAAACGAACCCTTGCTTATTTTTGGTGAGCCTTTCAATAGCCAAGGTCTCAACATTTTGGATAAATCTTCTGCAGGTTTAGTAAACAAAGGAGGAAGTAGTGTATGCAGAAAACACCTGTAACAGCAGCAATGATACAGCTGTATTATTGCTGGGATGCTCCTTGGAATGCAGCTCCAAGTTCCCAGTGAATGTTACAGTGCAAGTAATAAGGGTTTTTCCCAAAATGTTGGGAAGTCAGACTCCTGACCAACCTCCACATTCTGAAAGGAAGAACAAGCTCTTCCTTCTGCTCCTGGCTCACGAGAGGGCAGCATTTCTTTTCCACTGCTTTTGTCAGGAGTTTACAAGTCAGTTCCACAAAATGCAGGGAAATGAATTCATTTATCTACTGGAGTATCCTAATAAATGAAGTCATTAATTAGGGCTATCTCCACGTTTATCAAAAATAAGGAACTTTCTTGGTAAAAATAATTTACAGTTTTAACCATTACAAACTTGTCAGAAACTCCATCAGAAACAAGTTTTAAATCACCTTCACTTTTGAAAAAGACAAATTTACAATGAGCACAGCTTGAACTGTCAACATCTTTAACTTTTGGGTTCAGGATGAGGCTGACGTGCAGGATAAATACCTTCTTCATCCTCCCACTCTAAATCCAAGGAGGTGCTGTCATCGTTCCCACTCACTGATTTGGTTTTGGTCATCAAGTCACAACTGCTCTCTGTGTTGGGCGTCAGCACTGTGGCATCAGATGAAAGCCCTATTAAAAAAAAACAAACCCATAATGTATTTTTAATTTGTAAATGTACTTGAATTTCAGGTTAAACATGCAAAAGTGAAATTTTTAATTAAGCTCTCATCGTGCCTTGTGGGCCTTTAAACCTCGGGAATGCTGGAAAAGGCACCTTTATCAGTTCAAAGAGTAATCAGTAGCTTATAAATAGTCAATATCACTGAGATATTGCCTAATTAAAGCTAGAAAGGAGTCTAATAAGCTGTAAGCTGAGCTTATATGAAGACTTGTAAAAATAAAAACAAAACCCAAACCAACCCTCTCCTCCCCAAAAAACTAAACTACTCACACGGCCACCAGTCCTCCACCTTAGTGGTTGTCAAGTACTGTCATCAAAACTTACAGATAAAAGCTTATCCCATTGTTTTCCTCCAAAATATTGGTGGAATTTTTTAGTACAGGCAGCCAAATTCACCTCTTGCACTTCATTAGGAAAAAAAAAATGAAGCATTAATATGATTCTAATTACTTTGCCAAGGGATGATTTAAAAAAAGCTATGAACACACATCTGCATCTTCAACTGGTTTTACAAGAAATGTTCACCACCATCTTTTATTCATCAGATAAAAAAATTACCGGATTTTAAAATTACAGATCCAAGTATACACATTTTATATTTGTGTGTGTAAACACAAAACTGTAAA